ACCTGAGGTGACACCAGAACTTTTATATCCGCTTTGGTGTTATTCTGTAGGGCATGTGTTTGGCAAGGGGCGGGTGGGGGAGGGGGGGTTGGTGGGGGTGGGTAGGGTCCTTAACCCTGGATGCACATTAGACTACCTGCAGCATTTTCATAAAGATTACTGTCCTAAATTAACATATGTTTTAGAAGTTAGAGAAGTGGTTACTCCTAGGACATGAGGGGGGAAGTAACCAAATGGGGCAAGAGGGGGACTTCTGGAGAAGGGAAATTTTATTTTTTGATCTAGGTGATGGGTACATGGGGTATATGCAGTTTGTAAAAATGGAGCAAGCTGTTTGCTCATGATATATGCACTGTGAAATATAGTTTATACAGATATGTTCAGTAAGTATTGATACTTCAATTAAAAGTTAAAAAGTAAAAAAAAAAAAAAAAAAAAAGGATATGCCCAGGCTTCACTGCAGATCAGATGATGCAGGCTCTGTGGGAGAGAGGACCAGGTATCTAATGCAAGCCTAATATTAACCTAATGTGCAGTCGGGAATGAAATCTAGTGAATTTAATGTGCAGTCGAAAGTGAAAACCATTCTTCTAATGAATCATAACTGTACTTATTTGCTTACTCAAACACTCATTACACATACTTTAATGACCAATCACTGTATGCATACTATACTAGACATAGAGCATATAAAGATAAATAAAGCAGTCTCTGAAGGAGCTCAGTCTCAGCAAAGGATAGGCAAAGCAATAAATCCCACGTGATAAACTCAAGCAAGTTACTTACAAGACCTGGAGGAGAAAGTGATTTGTCAATTCAAGATTCACTCATTTTTTTTCTATTTACACAAATATTTAGGTACCTATGATGCTTGACCAGAGATACAAACATAAAGGGACACAATCCCTGCCTTTAAGAAAGTTACAATATAAGTACACAAAGAAGAAAACAAAGCATAACCTAATATCATACTATCAGAGGAGTGTGAGAATGGTGCAATAAGAATGCCCTGGGGAGCCAGAGGAGGTCCTACCAAGTTGCTGACTTTGGAGTTAAGATGATACAAACTTGAAATACTCCAGCAGCAGTGAGGATAAAAATTAGTATTTTAGAGGAGTGCTTCTCAAACTTTAATGTACATACAAATTACCTGGGGATCCTGTTAAATGCACATTCTGAGTCAGGAAGTGTGGGGTGGGGCCTGAGTCTCAGCATTTCTAGAAACGTTCCCAAGTGATACTAATGCTGTTGGTCCACGGATCACATTTTAAGAATCAGGTTCATGAGGAAGATGGGTTTCAAGAGGATAGATAAAAAAAATTCTACTGCACAGACACCAAAAAAAACACAAAAATTGGCAAGCAGCCATTACATTTGCTAATTAGATGGCCTTAGTGAGAGTAGTTTCAGTGGAGCAATGAGGGGAAAGCTAAATAATGTACATATTCAGAAATAAATGTGAAGTAAGGGGGTAGGGACAGGAAGTAAAATGGAGTGCTTTTGTGTTTACTCTGGCGTACTAGGAGATGCTTAATCACAAGCTGAAGGGAAGAAACCAGCGAAGAGAGCGTGGACAGAAAGGGGCCACACACCAAACCTGACAAGCTCAGGGCAGGTCTGCGTGGCAGCCTTGTCACCTCACAGACCTACAGTAACCACAGAGGATGGTCTAAAATGAAAATTTATTAACCAAAAGCAGTTTATGGCAGGTAGTCATGTCCTAGGCTACAATCTTCCTTGACCAAAGTCAATCTTTCCCGTAACTGAGCCTGTCTGTTGTCTTGTGGAATCTATGATGACGTGCCTTTGAAATGTCAACTTTCCTTTTTCTGGACGCCTCAGTGCACAACCACCGCACCAGAGTGGAGGCCACAAACCCCTCATTGCTGCTGTTATCATGCTAATTGTTGACTGTTAACCACCTTGTACCCACCAATGTAAAAAATGTATGTCTATCCCAGAGGTTCCCCCTACCCTCCTCCCACTCCCCTTTCTCCTGCCTCCTTAATCTATCACCAGTGGATTTCATGTAACCCGCTTACTGTCTTCTCGTTTGGTTATAATGCATTAAGTGAGGTGCAAACTGCCATTCTGCAGAGCATTTCCTCAATCTGTTGAGGTTTTGATCCTTGAGACAACTGTCATTAGTTTGGCCCAAATAAACTCACAAAAATTCTCTACTGGTTTGAATATTTCTTATGTTGACAAGAGAAAGCCCGAACACAAAAGAAAGAGGATGGGACCATTTTGGAAGGACAGAGAGATTCCTCTCCCTTTAAATCGCAGGATAAAGATAAGCTTTGGTCTGAAAGCATAAAGGTTTAAAGAGAAAAGAGGAAGAGTTGAAGAAGTTACTCCTAGTTCCGAGACCAGGAAGCCAGGGGACCTGGGGAGGGTGAGACCCAGGTTTGAAGTATGCACGGGCATGGGTGATGAAAAAGCACTGCAGGCACAGCTAAGGCTGGGCTCCTACTTGGCTGTGTGATTTTGCTCATCTACATCCAGTAGTCAAGGCAGAAGCTTAGAGAAGGCGCTCTGAGTAAGAGAGTGAGACTGATGCATTTAGAAAAGAGAGGAGGGCAAAGGACCAAAACCCTGAAGAAGTCAGAATAAGTATAATGAGGAAAAAGAAAGGAGAGAAGGTAGGAAGAGCTATGGACTTGTTTCTCCTGAAACCCTAAGTACTTGTCAACGGAACAACTAGAGACATTGCTGAGTTTCATTATTAGAGAAAGATTCTATTCTATGTAAATTTGTTGAAAATTATATTGTTAAATACCATCCCCAAGCTTAAATATTAAATACTCAACAAACCTGCTTGTAGGTTTAACATTCAAAGTGATAAACAGATTTAACAGATTCCAGATGTTTCTTTACCAATAAAAGCAATACCAAAAAATTTCAGTAAATTTATACTTTGAATGGCTCCTTGCCTGAAGGGCTGGTATGCTAGTCTAGTCCCTGATCCCTACTGCTCAAATAAAAATTGGCCAAAAGATAATAGAGTGCTCCAAGCACATCCAGATGAAAAGTTTATATACACTAAGAACACTGAATTTTAAACAGACAATGATTTCACACTGACATCCTATCTGGCTGGCAGCTATAATTCGCATTATAATTCAGCTTAGGCTGAGCAGTGATTTTCCTTTAAGTATAATTATCCTTTTTACCACAGTACAAGTTTTTAAGACTCTTAGAGGTTTTTTTTTTAACATAAAACTAACCTGAGACTTAAACTATAGTGAAGCTAATATATCTGACCAAAAGTACTAGTGATTTGGGAAGTTTTTTGTACTTAAAATAAGTGGTCATAAGATAATCATGAAAATTTATAAATAAGACAGAAAAACTCTATTTTCCCTTAGAAATTCTGTACTTCTCCTGATCTCATTTTTCTTTTATTTCTCTTTGTAGGTAGGAGAGAAGATGAAGAAGGGAGAAGATGTGAGTATTGAAATTTGGGAAAGAGAACACTTACAAATAGATGTTTGGTGTTTATTAAGGCCAGTTTTGCCAAATAAGCTCATTTAGTACTCCAGCTTTGCTAAATTATAAGTTCTATTTATTACAGCATCTATAAATATTTGATATTAAGGCCAAAAAAATAAAGTTGAGGGTTTTAGAAAACATTTAAACAACAAATATTTGATTAATTTATTAAAATTCAAAATATATTTTTGTAATACTATAAACCTAACTCATAGTTCTTAAAAATCAGAGAACACTTGTTCTGAATGAAAGAGAGAGAGAGAGAGCACATATCCTTGATTATACTCATGTCTGACTAAAAGTTACAGAGGTCATGAGATGCTCATCCCCATTTATGTACAAGCATATACATAAGCACCACACTCTTCAATTAACAGTGGCCCAAGTTAATCTACTATATTAAATTATTCAAAGTGATTACTTGTCAGGTGAATGCTGTTGGAAAACAACATTCTAAGTACCATTTCTGAATGCAAAAGTTATCAGTGGAAACTTCTGGGAATTACTTTTCTGGTTACATAAAGGAAAAAAATTAAGGGAGCTAAGCAATGACAACATGGGAATACTTTTTAAGTTTTTTATATGAAGTTGAGAAATATAACATGTTGTTTATCTGTAGTTAGATCTATCTTATCCCCAAATGTAGGCCATCCAAAGAAAACAAATACTATTACTTCTTAAAGCAATATTAATTAAAATATATATCATAAAGTTGTAATAACAGAATCACAAAGAAGTTTTTCAATTAAGTTGAATTTCAGGGGGATAAAATGTTGAGTTAAAAACTCAACAGCTCTTTATCATCAGACACTTGCTGAAATTTCTTTTATGACACCACTGAGATTAGGAGGGGTATATAGCATAAGTCAGACTTGAAGAGGTTTTTAAGAGTATTTATGCTCACACACTTTCTTAACTGGTTTTGAAAAATTTTACTCACCTAAATCTGAAGACATCTTTTCTATTCTCCACAATTACTCTACTGTTCTCGTTGATATTAAACAAACACAACCTTCACATCTAGCTAATACACTGCTTGCCCCATATACAAAGATTTACAGATTTTAAAGAAGAGATATGAAATGAGAAATGAAGCAGAATTTGACTCATAGGACCATTGCTGTAATTACTTTAAAACTGGTCTATTTTCTTTCAGCCCTCCAGATGAGCTAATTTAGCGTAACTGGTACATATATCAAACATTATAAAGGTAGTATTTAAAAACGTGTTAACTGGTGTGGCTTAGTGGATTGAGTACCAGCCTGGGAACCAAGAGGACCCTGGTTCAATTCCCGGTCAGGGTGCACACCTCGGTTGTGGGTCACGTCCCCAGTAGGGGGCATGCAAGAGGCAACCACACATTGATGTTTCTCTCCTCCTTCCTTTGCCCTCTCAAAAAATAAACAAATAAAACCTTAAGAAAAAAAGTTAATTAGAGGACTCAATCTCACTTTAAAATAAAGCATAAAAAGACACATACTCTGATACCTAGAAGTACAATAACTCACCTGCGGCTACCCAATTTCTTCTCTTCTCCTTCTCCAGCTGATTTAACACTTGCACTTGGGTCCTTTTTTAACTTTTTTGCAACTCTTTCTCTCATCAGGCTCTTTTCATCACCATCAATATTTTCATCATGCTCTGCATCTTCAAATTCTCCATCCTGTAGAAATTGAAATGGAGTATTTGCCGGGTGTTCCATCTCCCCTTTCACTTTCCGAGGTCCATCTCAGACTTTCGTTGCACCCTAGGCCAGATTTAGTTTTTGTTTTGTTTTGTTATAAGTTAGTAAGGGCCTGAAGAATGTGCTACAGGCGGGAATACCCCTGTTATCTGCTCCAGGTGAACTACGTAAATGTGAGATACCCCAGTCAATGTTTGCTCCATTCACACCCAGCCCCTTTGTGCAGCAAACAGCTCCTTTTGTATCACCAGCATCACGACCTTAACCAGGGATTAATTCAAGTAGAAGAGGTAAAGGTGGGACAGTTGAGATTTCTTCCCATAATCTGAGTCACAGGTGGCAAACACAAGGCCCACGGGCCAAATCTGGCCCTCCATCTTGTTTTATCTGGCAGGCACCTTGTTTGTACCCCCCGGCAGTGCTGAGCTCTTGCTTAACTGTGAAGGAGTAATTACATTTATACAGTCCTAAAACTACATTCGGCCCTTTGAGAGCAACTGTGAGGCTGATGTGGCCCCTGGAGAAAATGAGTTTGACACCGCTTATCTAAGTCATAGCCATTACTCCTCTTCTCAAAACCCTCCAATGGATCCCCAAGTCACTCAAGATCCTATGCAATCTGTACCTCCCTGACATAATCACCTACAACTCCATCCCAACAATACTAGCCAACTTTGGAGTTGCTGTTCTCTCCAGCCTTAAACATTCTTATTCCATATATCTGTGCGGCTTGCTCTTTAATCTCCTTCAGATCTCTGCTCAAATGTTACCCTCTCCATGATACTTACCTTAATCACCCTATTAAAATGGCAGAACTACCCATCCACCTCCAGTACTACATTCCTCTTCCTTGTTTTCTCCCCAAAGCATTTATAACCCATCTGAAATACTACACATTTTAATTAGTTATGTGTTTATTTTCTATCTCCCATAACTGTAGGAGGCACTCTATGAGGGCCAATATTCTGGACTATTTTACTTACTGCCATATCTTCATGTTCCAGAAGAGTTCCCAGCGAGAACAGAGAGAGGGAGTGCAGAGAGAAAGGAGGAGGAAGAAAGTAAGGGGAGGAAACAACAGAAGGAAGATGCTACTCCAAGTGCATCTTTTTCTCTTGTGTTTCTCTGAAGCAAGATTCTTAATTGAGGTCTGGAACTTTTGAGCAGTGGTCCTCGAAGTCTGCTCCTCAGATTACATAAGAGGGGACCCAAAAAACCCCGAACTGTCTTCTGGAGAGCAGGCTCTTTGTAGCACAGGCTTCTCCCTTTAGATGACTGTTCTAGGAACCCATCTGTATCAGGGACCAGTTGGCATTGTTGTGAGAGGCAGCATACAGCTTCAGTGAATTTTTTTTAAAAAGACTCTTTCAGTAAGTTTGCCCATTTCATGATGGGTGATTTATAAGGGCACCTGCCTACATTGTGCTGAGTGGTCAGCAGTTTTTGACCAAAAACAGTATGACCCCTTGCCCCACCCTCTCTATTCACTGGATCTCACCCTGAGCAATGTTCTTTTGTGTCCCCAGAAGAAAAAAGTCCTCAAAGGGAAATGTTTTGCTGATGTGGAAGAGGTGAATCAAAAAAATGGCAGAAGCACTAAAAGGCATCAAAATTGACAAGTTCAAACACTGTTTTGAGTCATGGAAATAAGTCTTAATAGGTATATTGCATCAAATGGAGAGTACTTTGAAGGTGACTGAAGTTTAAACATGTAAGAATAAGTACACAATTTTTTAAAAATAAATGTTGGCATTTTCTTGGGTCCCCCCTTGTATAACATAGTCTGTTGTTGAGAAAATGTAAAATCCTCCCAGTCTTTCCAAACCAAATCTCTAGGAATAGAAATTGTGAATGTTTTCAGTGAAATGTTTAAGAAATTCTTTAGCCCTAAAAGTTGATAACCACTAGGTTTTCCATGCTTAGTCCTCAGGAGATCTAAAAAATTCCTGGCAAATTCATTAAATTTTGTTTGTGTTTGTAGTATATTCTCTGGAAAGAAGATTTACAGTTTAAGTGATTGCAAAGGATCTGGGACACAAAGCAGGTTCAAGACCACACACTATCCTTAGATGACCTCACCCCCACCAGGCTGCAAGAACAGATCTATACTTTTACATCGGGCCTTGATCCAACTATCTTCCGACCCATATTACTGCTACACGGGCGTCTCCAAGTTCTCTGAATCTCAAAATGTACATAATTAACCACGTTATTTTTCATCTTTCTCCCCACCTTAAGCCTACTCTTTCTTGTGATTGTCCCAGACTCGACTTTCTCCCTCACCTCATAATATTCTATCAGTCACCTCTTAGACTATATATCTTTCAGGTCTCTTTCCCACGTCACAGCTGCAGTTTTATATCACACTGTCCTCTTGTGATAGCTGCCCAAGAGGTCTCCTTGATTCCAGTCTATTTCTTCTAATTTGTCTTCTACAATATTGCCAACAGTGACCTTCCTAAAATGTAAGGTTGACCATAGCACTCTTCTTTTTAACTAACACCCTTTCAGTTGCTCCTCATTACTTTTGAATTTAAACTCCTCAACACGGCCTACAAGCGCTCTCATATTTGGCCTCACCTACCTCTCCAACCTCACCCCCTCTCACTCCTGTCATGACCCTCCGGTCACACTCATCTGCGTTCAGCTCCAGGTGCACACCAAGCTCTCTCCTGCTTCCGAGCCTTTTGTGCATGTGGTTTCTTCTACCTCCAACACTCTTCCTCTCTGCTGTTCACATAAGGCAGGTTCCTTCTCAAACGTGAACCTCAGCTTGTACTTTCTAAATAAGGTATAATCTCTCCTTGTTACCATGCTTTATGCTGTTCTCCACGCTAAAGGAACTCTACTCTTTACCATGTTCTTTCTTTGATCTAGTCGACGCCCAATTCTTCTACACTATACAACACAATCATCTCTTTCAGGAAGGTTTTCTTGAGTAGGTTAGATATTCCTCCTTTCTCTACTACACATAGAAAGAACCCCCTCTTTTGACTGTGGCAATCGATATCAAGCTGTGTTCATTCGTAGGAAGTTATGTACTTCCTGCTGAACTGCACGATGCACACAGATCAGTGGGTTTTTACATAAAGTGACAAATGGTTGACTTGAAAAAAACTTGGTCACTTATATATAAAGGAAATTCTGCCTCCTGTTTTATCAGATTTAAGCCAGTACTACTGATGAAGAAAGAGCACTATAGTCATGAAAGAGAATCTCCTGAAATGTGTGTAAAGGAATGCTGACTATTATAAATGACTGACCCAAGCATTTCTCGTACATCACGAAGGGCACACAGGCAGCAACATGCCACCTTTCCACATAATGAAATAAAACCAAGCCATCTGAATTTGGAGTATTCAAGTAATGTTACATCATAGGGAGAAAAGACAGGCTAGAAACTTCATATATAAGATTCCACACACATAGACATATGCTTCGAAGAAAATATATCAAAATAAGTGACGTATTTTTCAAAATTCTCAGATTTTCTCAAAATTTTATAACTGTAAAAGATATATATGTATATGTATATATATAGCCTTATAAGAAAAACAATTGAATTTTTTAAGATTTTGAATTTTCTTTAAATGGTTCAAACTATATTTGTATTAAAATACTCACATCATCTAAATCTGCTGCATCACCTTTTTCACTACAAAAAATAAGAAAAACAATAAATTTTAGCTTCAAAATTAAACTAATAAAATTGTTCAATAACCCCTAAATTTAGAATATTTTGCTGGATGAATACTTCAAAAACGTATTTTAATACAGGAATTTCAGAATGGCATTCTAGAATAAATGGAAACATACTAAAAATGAATCATCTTTTAAATGGAATATGAGGTACTCCATTACTACATATACAAAATCAATAGAATTAAAAGAAAAAATGCAAGCAATAACCAACAATGCTATTTTTATGAACAGAGGGCAAGTGAAAAAACTTTCTTCCACTGGCTTGATGTACTCTGGCTGGTGAAAACAAATCCTTCAAATGCAATGATGTTAAGAAGACAGTTTTGGAACAGAATTTCCGAAAATGAGCTAACCGTAGTACAATAGTATTTTAGTCCCCCTTTGAAACACTGGCTGAAAATATCATGTGCAACTACAAGGAACAGCCAGATATCCTCTCTTCTCAAAGAGAAGAAACAAAGATAGTAAGGTAATTTTCTGTTAACTCCAGAAAATATGTAAGAAATAATACTCAAAGGACTGGCCAAAACTGAGGTGACTGTTTCACAAAACCCTTCAATTCTGCTTTATCAATCATACCAAATGAGACAAAAAATGCTTCAAGAGAAAAGTTGGCAAAGCAACTTTGAATTAAACATAAAAACATTAAAGCAAAGTTTCCTACTCTGCAAACTATCCCAAGACTTAAAAGTTTAACAATTAATTTCAATTTAATTAGTTGGACTCAGGCAGACAGCAAGAAGAGTGAGCGATAGTGCTTCTCTCCACTATGGCAGAACTTCTACCCACCAGCATTGAAAAAAGGCTTTAACTTTTGGCTGGGTTGAAAAAGTTTGACATGTGAGAAACAGCTGTTTACTCACACAGGAAGTTGTAAATTATCTGAGCCAGAAAATAAGAACTTTGGATCACACTAGCACCATACTAACCTTTCAACAACTGGAACAGAACTGAGATGTGGGTCATCCTTCAGCAAGTCATGACTGCTTTTGCTTTTCCCCTTCATGCTCTAGAAAGGAATGCAGACATCATCATGAGTCGGGGAAAACCAGTCTTCCAAAAGGATGATTAACAAATTTACATGAAATCTAGGACTGATATAACATGGTTAGCAAAAGAAATGTGTTCCTGAAAAGTTCAGTATACAGTAAAGCTTTATAAATAAGAATCTTACTCTTCTATTGACTGAAAATATTATATTAGAAACACCTTTTTTGTTTTTTTAATTTAATCCTCATTGTATTTTTCTATTACCATTTAGTCCCCTTATATTTCCCTCCCTGCAGCAATTACCACACTCTTTTCCATGTCCTTGGGACCCTTTTGCTTTTTGCTTGGTCCTTCCACCCCCAACCTTCCCTCCCACACTAGCTGTCAGCCTGCTCTCCATCTGTGAATCTGTCTCTGTTTTGCATGTTAGTTCAGTTTGTTCATTAGATTCCACATATGAGAGAGATCCTATGGTATTTGTCTTTCTCTGACTTACTCACTTCACTTAGCAAAATGTTCTCCAGGTCCATCCATACTATTGCAAAGGGTAAAATTTTCTTCTTTTTTATGGCACATTGTGTAAATGTCCCATAGTTGTTTTATCCACTCATCTACTGATGGACACATGGGCTACTTCCATGTCTTGGCAATTGTAAATAACACTTCAATGAGCATGGGGGTGCTAATGTTCTTTCAAATTAGTGTTTTGGGTTTCTTCAGATATATTCCCAGAAGTGGGATCTCTGGTTCAAAAGACAGATGCATTTTTAATTTGTAAAAAGAAGTATCTCCATACTGCTTTTCACAGTGGCTGCACCAGTCTGAATTCCCACAAAAAAATGCACTAGGGTTCCCTTTTCTCCATGTCTTCGTCAGCACTTGTTGTTTGTTGATTTATTGACGATAGCCATTTTGACAAATGTGAGATGGTATCTCATTGTGGTTTTAATGGGCATCTCTCTGATGATTAGTGACATTGAGCATCTTTTCAGATGTCTGCTGGCCATCTGTATGTCCTCTTTGGAGAAGTGTCTGTTCAGGTTCAATTAATTTTTTTAATTGGGTTGTTTGGGGTTTTTCGGTGTTGAGTTTTGTATATACTTATAAATTTTGGATATTAACCCCCTATCAGATGTGTCAGCAAATATGTTCTCCCATTCTGTAGGTTAAGTTTTTATTTCATTGACTTCCTTTGCTGTGCAAAAGTTTTAGGTTTGGTGTAGTCCCATTTGTTTAATTTTTCTTTTGCTTCCCTAGCCTGGGGAGATAACATCCAATAAAAAGTTTCTATGAGTAATGTCTGAGATTTTCCTGTCTTTCTAGGATTTTTGTGGTTTCAGGTCTAACATTTAAGCTTTTGATTTATTCTAAATGTATCTTGTGTGTGGTGTAAGAAGGTGGTCTCGTTTCATTTTTCAGCACTTATCTGTCCAATTTTCCCAATACCATTTACTGGATAAACTATCTTTAGCTCATTGTATGTGCTTGCTTCCTCTATCGAATATTAATGGACTATAAAGGTGTGGGTTTATTTCTGGCCTCTCTATCTGTTCCATTGATCTATGTGTCTGTTTTTATGCCAGTACCATGCTGTTTTGATTACTATGGCCTTGTAGCATAGTTTGATATTAGGATTGCTATTGCTATGTGTGGCCTTTTGTGGTTCCATATAAATTTTTGAAATATTTGTTCTAGTTCTGTGAAATATGTCATTGGAATCTTGATAGAAATTGCATTGAATCTAGATTGCTTTGGGTAGTATGGACATTTTAATGATATTAATTCTTCTTATCATTAAACACGTTATGTGCTTCCACTTATTTGTGTCTTCAATTTTTTTCTTCAGTGTTTCATAATTTTCCATGTCCTGGTTAGGTTTATTCCTAGGATTTTTATTCTATTTGAAGCAATTATGAATCAGATTGTTTTCTTAATTTCCCTTTCTGTTAGTTCGTTATTGGCATATAAAAATGCAACTGATTTCTGGATGTTAATTTTGTATCCTGCTATTTTGCTGAATTCATTTATCAGTTCTAGTAGTTTCTCGGTGGAATTTTTGGGGTTCCCTATGTACAATATTATGTCATTGCAAATAAAGAGAGTTTTACTTCTTCCTTTCCAATTTAGATGCCTTTTATTTCTTCTTCTTCTCTGATTGCTGTGGCTAGAACTTCCAGTACCATGTTGAATTAAGAGAGGTGAAAGTGGATATCTCTGTCTTGTTCCCAATCTTAAGAGGAATGCTTGTAGTTTTTGCCCATTGAGTATGATGCTGACAGGGGTTTGTCATATATGGCCTTTATTATATTTAGGTATGTTCCCTCTGTTCCCACCTTGCTGAGAGTTTTCACCATAAATGAGGGCTGGATTTTATCAAATGCTTTTTCTGCTTCTATTGATATAATCATGTGGTTTTTATCAATAAGATCACTGGGTATGATCTTTTTTATGTATTTCTGTATTTGGCTTGCTAGTATTTTGTTGAGGATTTTAGCATCTATGTTCATCAGGGATATCAGCCTATAATTTTCTTTCTTTGTAGTGTTTTTATCTGGTATTGGAATTAGGATAAAACTGGCCTGGGAAAATGAGTTTGGACCCCTTGCATTTTACAAAATAGTTTGAGAAAAAGAGGTATTAGTTCTTCTCTGAATGTTTGTTAAAATTCACCTGTGAAGCCATCTGGTCTAGGGCTTTTGTTTGTTGGGAGTTTTTTTATTACTGCTTCAATTTCATTAGGTATAATCCATCTATTCAGATTTTCCGATTTTCCTGATTTATTTTTGGAAGACTGTATGTCTCTAGGAATTTATTCATTTCATCCAGGTTGTCCAGTTTGTTGGCATACAATTGTTCATATTTTTCCTATAATCCTTTGTATTTCTTTGGAGTCAGTTGCTATTTTTTCTCTTTCATTTCTGATTTTATTTCTTTGGGTCCTTTCTCTTTTGTTTCTTCTTGATGAGTCTAGTTAAAGGTTTGTCAATCTTTTAAAAGAAACATCTCTTGGATTCATTGATCTTTTATATCATTTTATTATAGATCCTATTTTGTTTATTTCTGCTCTGATCTTTATTATTTCCTTCCTTCTACTCACTTTGGGCTTTGTTTTTCTTTTTCAAGTTGCTGTTGGTATCAAATTAGATTGTTTATTTGAGTTCTTTCTTTTTTTCTTCCTTCCTTTTGAGATAGACTATGAATTTCCTTCTTAGGACTGCTTTCCCAATGTCCCACAGATTTTGGATTGCTGTGTCCTCATTTTCAATTGTTTCAAGGTATCTTTTGATTTCTTCGTTGTTCTCATTATTCACCCATTCATTGTTTAATAATGTGTTAATTTATCTTCCATGTATTTGGTGATTTTCAGAGTTCTTGGGATTGATTTCTAGTTTCATAGTATTATGATCAGAGAAGATGCTTGATATAATTTCAATCTTCTTAAATTTATTGAGACTTGTTTTGTGTTCTCACATGTGGTCTCTCCTAGAAAATGTTTCATGTGCACTTGAAAAGTATGTATATTCTGCTGCTTTGGGATGAAATGCTCATTTGATGTTGTGTGTTGTTTAAGGACACTATCTCCTTATTGATTTTCTGCCTGGAAGATTTATCCATTAAAGTCAATGGGGTATTAAAACCCCAACTATAACTGTATTTCTGTCGATCTCTCCCTTTATGACCACCAAGATCTGTTTTACATAATTAGGTGCTCCTATGTTGGGTGCATAAATGTTTACTAGGATTATACAGCAGATATAAGTGTTGCTACCTCAGGTTTTGCTTTTTCTTTTCCATTTGCATGAAACCTTTTTTTCAACCCTTTACTTTTAGTATCTTTTGATCTGAGATGGGTTCTTGGATGCAGCATATATACATATATATGGGTCTTATTTTCTTATCCACTCAGTTACCTTCTCTCTTTTGGTGGGAACATTTAAGCCACTGACATTTAAGGTGATTATTGATAGATACTTATGTAGTGCCATTGTATTGTTAGATTGTTTTCCTTTTGTTTTTTTTTTTCTTCTTAAACCAAGCCCTTTAACAATTTGTTGTAGTACTGGTTTGGTGTTAAACTCCTTTAGCTTTTTCTTGTGTGGGAAGGTCCTTATTTCTTCTCCAATTTTAAATGATAGCCTCACTTGGTAAAGTAGCCGCAGTTGTAGGTCCTTGCTTTTAATCACCTTTAATATTTCACGCCACTCTCTTCTGAGCTGAAATGTTTCTGTTGAGTAATCAGATGCCAGTCTAATTGGTGATCCCTTGTGGGTAACTACCTGCTTTTCTCTTGTGGCTTTTAGGATTCTCTCCTTGTCTTTTAGCCTTGTCATTTTGGTGTACACCTTCTTTAGGTCCAACTTGTTTGGGACTCTGAGCTGCCTGGACTTGTGTGACATTTTCCTTTGCCAGTTAGGTAAATTTTCGGTCACTATTTCTTCAAGTAGGTACTTGATCCCTTGCTTGCTCTCTTCTCCTTCTGGCATTCCATTATGCAGATCCTGTTATACTTCATGGTGTCCAAAATATTTCTTTAGCTCTCCTCATTTTTTTAAATTCTTTTTTCCTGTTGTTGCTCTACCTGGGTACTTTTTTTCTACCTTGTCTTCCAAAATACTGACTTGATCCTCTGCTTTATCTAACCCACTGTTTATTCCTTCCAGTGTATTATGTATTTCAGATATTGCATCCTTTATTTCTGACTGGTTCTTTTTTATGGGTTCTATGTCTTTTTTCATGCTGTTGAGTTACCTTCTCTCTTTTAATCATTACTCTCTTATAATGATCTTTAATCTTACTCTCTTACTACTCTCTCTTATAATCATTACTCTAAACTCTATCTGATGACTTGCCTGCTTCTATATCATCTAGTTTTCCTGGAGAATTCTCTTATTCTTTCATTTGGAGTCTATTCCTTTGTCTTCCCATTTTGGCTGCTTCTTTGTATTTTCTGTCTTAGTCATTAAACTGATCAATTGTTTGTCTAATCAAACTGTAAACAGCAGCCAGGCTTAAGGGTGA